AAAGACAACCACACAACCAATTAATATAGCACTGGCAGGGCATCTAATGATGCAATTAATATCATTTCTTAGGATACCAAAACTGATTTTGTATCACTTTTTATTTAGCAGAACTTTGTTTTTTATTAATGTTTTATAAATAACAAGAAAAATGTTTGAGGGCCACAATTTTTATTGTTCAAATGGCTCAAAATTATCAAAACGACTCATTGTGGCGTTTAACCATTGCTGAAATAACAAATAAAATATTGACTTTATTATTATAAATCAAGTTGAATATTTTGAATAAATTTTGAAATTCGATACTACCTAATAAAAATCTAAAATTTCTAATAATAAATCGGAATTTTCTGCTGGATTAGTTAAAAATGCTTTTTGACAAGCATTTGCCCGAATTAGAGATGTACAAAAACCTGACATAATTGAGCTGACCGCTCAAGACCGACTAAAATTTTGGTTTGCGGTCAATTTTTCATACCTTACGGTCTATTTCCCGATACTAACCAAACCAACTAAAATATTATATTTAAATACTTTTATATTTTAATTTTTTACGCATTAGAATATAAATAATTAAAAAAATATACGTTTTGTAATAAAAATTATGGAGAAATGTATTTATAGAATAATTTTCACCAAGTTTCTTCATTTATTTTCAATCTTAGATTTTATAAAATTTTATAAAACCTTTTAAAATTTCATTAGAATCCTTCCACTACACAAAACCGACAAACTGATATCTGGTCTGTTTTGGTTTCTACAATAAAACTAAAAAGTTTGATTCGATGATAAATTGTTGCTAAATCCCAACTAAATTAAACTATTTACACCCCTTATGGCAGCGACAATCCCCAAAATGCTATTAATTGATAGGAACACATTCCAACTAATTTCCAAAATATATAAATTTGAATCAAATTAAAACTAGCAACTAATCCAAAAACATGAAATTAGAATGATCCTATTTCCAAGGAAAAACAGCTAAAAACATGTTTGGCGTCGAAACTACCAACCTTAACATGAATGAGAGACACATGTAATTAGGGTTGGGAGGTTCAAAGTTAGCTACATAGCTAAGAGCATCTCCAATAGTGGTTGCTATTTTGTTATTGTTATTACTATAATTTAGTAATGAATAGTGTTATTTTGTCAAATTATAACAATGGTGCTCCAATGGTCATTTGCTATTTTTAGCAAATCTCAACCAATTTTCCCTCCAAGTTTGTAGGTGTTGTTTGGATATAGGTTTTTTGTGATTTTACTTTTGTTTATTTTTTGTCGTTTGTGACATTTTTTTACCTGTTTGTTAAAAAAATTATATATTTATATTATTCCCAACCAGACAAATATAAAAAAAATGAAAAATTGGAAAAATTGAAAAACATTATATATTTATATTATAATGTCTTTTTATTATAATAAAATTATCTTCATTTAATATCAGCTAATGCATTTTATCTTTTTATTGCCTTCATTTGAAAAAATATATTTATTTTTTTGCTTTATACTTTATTGAAAATATTAAATTATAATATAAATTAGTGAACATTATACATTGAAAAAATAATATAATGGACTAGTTTCACTACAAGAATTAACACATTTGCCGACCAAAAAGTTGGTCGCTAAAAGTCCATTTTTGGTCGGCAAAACATATTCCCGACCAATTTTTTTGGTCGCCAAGTTGGTTGGCAATTGAGGGTCGCAGAAAGTAATTAGCGACTAAAAAGATTTTTAGTCGGCAAAACGTTCTTAATTAATTTTATATATTTTTAATTGTTATTAAAAAAAAATTAACAGACACTTTTACATCCCACTACCGTTGGACTTCCATCAAACGGTCCCCGAAAACTTGCCGAATTGTTCAACATTACCGAGAAGTCGTCGGAGTATTGCCGGAAATTCATCGGCGTGTTATGAACGTCAATGGAAGTCGCCGGAATGTCCAAAACGTTCGCTGGACGTTAAGAATATCATTGGAGACTCACAAGAATATTTACAATATTGTCAGAAAAAAAAAGAATAAATGGAGAAATTAGAGCGAAAAAACATAGCAAAATGTTCTAAATATTGATATAACTAAAAGAAAAAATATATATATAACGACAAAAAACAACAATAATGAAAAAAAAAATATATGTTATTTTTAAATTTTTGTAGAGTTTAAGCAAATAATTTTCAATATTGATCAAACTTAAAAGCAAACTTGAAACTGTAAAATGTTATAGTTTCAAAACAAAAATCTATTAAACATTTATTCTTATTAATCAAACTGAAAAACATCATATGAAACTACAAAATTTTACAATTCTAAAGAATGTTATGAAATTGTAAAATTTTATAGTTTTAAACCACAATTCATTCCAGCACCAAAAAGAATTGAAACTACAAAATTTTATAGTTTTCACCGCCTGTAACTAAAATTCGAAAACAACTTGTTCAAAATTTGAAAATTTTATCCATTAAAATAGAAAAAGAGAAATGTATAGCAAAGAACATGCAGAAAAATTAAGAAATCGAAGGAGAGAGGCAGACATAGAGAGATGATTGTACTCCAGCAACTATTTTTTGTTTAGATCTAGTCGAATCTGATGTAGATATACTCAGATCTGATGTACATCTACATCAGATTTAAGTAGATCTACTCATCTTTTTTGTCAGAAACATATCTTCTTCATCGTCTGTGAAGGTGAAGTAAGGAGTCGGCGGTCGGTAGTTACCAGTGAATCCCAATCAATGGTAGTCGTCGATCGCCGATGACTATATATCAGAAAGAGAAAGAGAATAAGCAAGATGTGATTACTGTCAACGATCGCCGGAAATCACAAAGAGCAAAAGAGATATAAAAGAAGAAATGCAGAGAAAAATAATAACGTTATAAGACTTTTGAGTATAAACAAAAAGTTATGGGACTAAATAGGCTACACGTTTTTTTAAAAAGACTTTTTGGTAATTTGCCCTTGTAACATTTATTCAAAGAAATATAGAATTTTTTATCACTAAACGCAACAATAATATATCTCAACTGTAGTTATTAATGTAGGTCTTGGGTGATTATTCAGTATTTCTGGAGTATGGACACGTAGTGCTCCATAAGATTTTAATTGGTAAAGAGGGTAGGGACCCATGATTTATATTGGAAATGAAGGAACAACATGAGGCTAAGTAATTGATGATTGACTTAGAGTATGGTTACGTGGTATTCTGAGATTATTAAATAATTTCCCGAGGGTATTATACCATTATGTCTAATGGTAAGAAAATTTGATAAGAAATATGTTTATTTTTAACAATTTTTTTTAATCCAAATGGCAAGTAATGAATGAGATTAATATGTTAACTGAGAGTCTTACATTTTACTATGAAATAGGGGTTCTGGTCTCCCCACTTGTTATATTTTTTTCATTGCTCGGTACTTAATTTTGACTAAAGTTATTGATTGATTCATGAAAGGGGTGCCACGAAACGGTCCTTTAATTAGGAGGACAAAAAGGGTGGAGGAAGGGAGTTGGGTGGAAAAAGGGCACAGAGGGGATGAATTTGCCATCCGTACCATCATCATCAACAAAACTCAGCCATCAATATTTTTTCCCCCGCTATGTCTATATATATTATGTGTGATGTATAATAAAAATGCCACTTGGCTTTTTATTTTATGGATTGTAATATCATTATCTTTTTTTTTTCAAATAATTTTTTTTCAATTAATTTTTTTTTCCAATTGTTTTTTAAATTATTTTTTTTCCAATTAAGCATATAATTCATGTGGTTAAATATAATAAATTAAAAGCACGTTTGTGGTTAAGCAAATCTTTTCTTCTTGTTCTTCTTCGTTGTTATTGATGATTGGGAAGGAATTGAATTCTTCACTTTTGTTTTCTCTTCCCTGTGATAGAGCTGTGCCTTGCTAAGTTTTCAGAGACAGAGGGAGAGAGAGAAAGGAGGATACGAATTTTCTTGTATCTTTTGAAAATACAGGAAAATAATTGTTCTTATAAAATGATAGTAGCTTGCTCATCAAGTTTGGTTTTTTTCGTGTGTATGCGCACACATGTATGAATATGCAGGGTTGTTTAAATATAATAACAAACTGAAGAGGATACGCTAGGATAGGGTTTTGTTTGATTAATGAAATACTGACATGACCAAGATGCAAAAGATGAGAAAAAAATGCTTGCCGACTTTTTTTATTTTTTTTGGAATTCTCATAATCTTCTTTAACATTTAATTATTAAGGGACCCAAGTATAAGATTCATACCATCAATAATTAAAATTCAAAAGAATTGTAGAAATCTCAACAAAAAAAAAAAAAAAAAAAAAAAATTCCCCTACTAAAAAAAATTAGTAGCTAAAAAGTTGACTTTTGCCGACTAATATTATTTTTGGTAGCCAATTCCGTGACTTTTGGCGACTAAATTCGTTTTGGTAGCTAAAAGTGGTCGGCAAAAATGCTTTTTCTTGTAGTGTCTCCTCTCTTTGATCATCTTTCAAAATCATCATTCATTTCTTCGAATCGAGAGAACAATGGACTACTTCTTTTCGAAAGCTGTGTCCAAGGTTGCTAAGATGATGGTCCTTGTCATGTTCTTGATTTTAGTTACCACCAAACCTGTTGAATCTGGTGCAAGGCCTTTTCATGGTAGAAAGCTCACGGTGGCTCACGGTGGTGGTGGCGGTGGCGGCAGGGGTCGTGGCTTGGTGGCGGCTCCACCTCGCAAAGAAGCAAAAGCACCGCCCGGCCCTTCTTCTTGCACATTTCTCCCCATAAATGACCCGTGCCATTGCTAAAATTCACTGATGAAGTTGTTTGTTCTGGTGCAAAATTGTGTCATGATTCATGTTCAGTTGGTTGATTCTTGAATAATTAGATATTTATTACTAGTTATGGAGTGTCTTGCATGTTCAAGTTTTGTTTTTTTTCTCATCTATTACATGAAGGAATGAAGCATATAATTCATGTGGTTAAATATAATAAATTAAAAAAAAAAGAAAAGAAAGAAAAAGAAGATTAATTACCTGGCAACTTTTCTGGGTGTGTGTGGCAAATTCCATTTTCCCCGTCAGTTGTAGGAATAAATTCATCAATTAGAGGATGAATTTTATGGGCATTTGATGACACTTTTGCTTCTAAATGTTCAAGAATTTCTTGATCAGATGGATCAAACTTCACCCCGGCAAATCTTGAATTCCCGCCTAATTTATTCAAAATTTAGGTTAAAACTTGTTAATTTATTAGAAACAAATTGAAATAAAATTTAATTACTTGTGAATAAATATAGATAACAAATACACAAATAGTAATACCCGATTTTGCAATTCTATATTATGGCCACATGAAGGACATCTTATGAAGCGAACTTCACCGGCTTCTTCTTCATCGATAACACCATTTTGTTGAGCAGAAGGCGAGACTATTTAGATGGCTCTTTCGTCTTCAGAGTCGTTATGCCATGTCATCTCTCTTGTTTTGCTCTTACTCCCACCCCAAAGATGGTTTCTCTCTCCTATTTCCTCCACCTCTCCAAACTAGAAAAATAACATAAGATGTGTAAAAAAAAAAAAAAAAAAAAAAAAAGGAAGAAGAAGAAGAAGGAAATTAAAAGCACGTTTGTGGTTAAGCAAATCTTTTCTTCTTGTTCTTCTTCGTTGTCATTGATGATTGGGAAGGAATTGAATTCTTCACTTTTGTTTTCTCTTTCCTGTGATAGAGCTGTGCCTTGCTAAGTTTTCCAAAGAGAGAGAGAGAGAGGAGAGGAGAGGAGAGGACAAGAATTTTCTTGAATCTTTTGAAAAGACAGGAAACCTTATAATGATAATCTTAAATCTGTCCTTGCAAAAATCGGGTGGGGCTTGAAGCTAAATTGAAAAAAAATAAAATTAATAAATAATTTTTTTAAATAAACGAGACTTTTTTAACTGAACGAGTAGTGGCTTTCCATGCCATAAACTTCGGGGCTCTTTTTTTGAACATAATGCTGAATCTAATATTAATTTATTCATTTTAAGTTATTTGATGTTTGTATTTGCATGCAATGTAATGTCAATTGGTTCCGCATTTTAATTGAAATTTCTACCATTTTCTCTGATTATATACTATGCAATGATTTGGTAATTCCTTTACAATTTTTGATTTCGTGATGCATATTGATATGGTTAGTAGAATTAAGTCGAAGAACAAGAGTCATCAAGACAACATATCATAGTGACTCTACTTATCACTTTGTTTTGTTTAATTAGCTTGTCGTTTTCTTTTTCAGTGTTTTTGCTTGGGGTTGCACAAAATTTTACTTGTTTTGGGTGCCAACTTAGTTGGGATTCATCTTCCAAGCTATAATGCATTTTTCCCTAGCTTGTTCTTTGTAATCGCTTCTCCTTTTATTAATAAAATTTCTCTTTCGCCACTAAAAAATAAAAAAAATCCTTTTAAGCATATTTTCTAACACACTCTATAATTGTGCACGTAAGAAAGCTAAACAAATATATATTGATTCAATCATAAATAAATTCTGTGATAAAAATGAATGTTGAGTACAACATTGATACAAGGCAAAGGAGCATCTTTAATAGTTTAACATCTAAATAGCTTACTATTAGTAATGTGAAATTGCTTTTTTTTTTACAAAAAAAAAATATATATATACATATATATATGTGTGTGTGAGAGAGAGAGAGAGAGAGAGAGAGTTGTATCATAAGAGAAGTATAAACAAAAATGTTACAAAATTTTAGCAATAGCGAAACTGGGTCAAATTTGACAAAGTTCAACAATACAAAAATATAGCACAAGGTTTGGATAACTATTGAAAAGCCCAAAATTGAGTTTTTATGCTCTTTTTTTTTTTCTTTTTTTCTTTTTCTTTTTTTTCACAATAGCACACCTTTAACCATACCATTAGTTAAGCTCTAAATGGTGATGTATTTTCTTAAAAAAATTAATAAAAAAATGTTACACTTTTTTTTTGTATTTATTGAATTTTTTTTTTCTATTTTTTCAAAAAAAAATTACTTTTTAGGTGCATCAAATAAGTAAAACAAATTGCTTAAAATAATTTTAAAAATTTACTTAAAAAAAGAAAAAAAAGAAAAACCAAAAACCCAAAAACTGTTTTTAAAAATTCAAAACTAATATTTGTTTCACTAAAGGAAATTCAGCTACAAAACGCCGCTAATTATTTTTGCGACGCTTAGCACCAAGCGCCGAAGACGCAGTCGTCGCTATAACTTTATGACGTTTTAAAGCGTCGTTATATTAGTATAGGCAGCGTTTTTTAAAAACGCCGCCAAATGTCTTACTTGTCAATATCATGACGTCATTATGATATTTAGCGACATTTTTTAAACGCCGTCATATCTTTTTAAAAAAATCTAACCGTTAATATTTAGGGTTTAAAGTGGCGTTTTTCAAAAAACGCCGTGATCTCTCCTTTTTTTTTTTTAAATTGTGCTAATTTATGTGATTAAACTACAAAAATACATATAATAAAACTGAATAACACTAATATGAAATAATAACTTACATTCAAATAGCAAATGCATCATTAATTCACTTCCCCATTCACCAATCACCATTATCCACAAAATAACATATCCACAAATGATATTTTAATATTACCCCCAAAATAACATATCCAAAAATTGTATTCACAATTCTCAACCAAAAAATTAATTACTACTTTGTATACAAAGCCACAAAATAATATTACTCTACTCTCTCTCTCTCTCTCTCTCTCTCTCTCTCTCTCATTTAACACAAAAAATAAGAAGAAAGTGAACCAAAACACCCAGCTCCCCAATCAGATCAAAGGAAAAAAAGAAAAAAGAAGAGAAATAAGAATCCGAAGGAAAGCCCCTATCCATCCTTCATTGTCATTCTGAATTGCTCTCCATGCTGCTTCCTATGGCCTTCAATCCTCTCGGTCTCTGCCAATCATAAAACATAATAATAAACCAAGAAGAAGATCCAAACCAGAATAACCATGCACCCAGCTTTAGTTTATAAGTTAAATTATTGGCTTCTAACTATAACTTCACCCATGCATGAAATTATTTTCTAGAGTCCATTAAGCATGTCACCTATTACCAAGAATTAGATAAAACATTTCCTCTCCATTTTTTTGAGAAAGTGAAACTTACTTGTATAGATAGGCGGCAATCCCAAGAATTATGCACAACAGTATAATATCAATATAGAAATTTCGACTGGATCTCAGCTGAAACAAATCAAAACTCTGTCAAATCCAGCAAAGAGATCTACGACATAACATAGCTGAATCTCTCTCTCTCTCTCTCTCTCTCTCTTTCTCTCCCTACAGCACACAAAGTGATGCAAATCTACAGAAAATACAGTGGCAGCTTAATCACTTGGTTAACAGTATCCTTAAGTCTCACATTGGTGTTCTTAAGGTCAGATGCTGCATTGTCGACCTGTAGGATGTGAAAATACACCATTAATAATTTAAGAATACTTGTAGCTTCAGATATTACTAGGACAGGATGTGTTCTCAAACCTTAGTGTCAATCCGTCCATTAAAGGAACTTGCCTATCAATTTCCTGTATGAATTGCAAAGTCAAAAATTGATGTGCACAAAATGGGACAAAGCAACAGATACAAATGCACAAGGTAGTAGCAAACCTCATTCAAATCACGGGCCATGTCTTTCAATTTATCCAAACCTTCTTTTATCACTTCCAATCCTTGGTCCTGTGTGAACATTAAAGTAAAACACAGTCAGATGCTGCATTGTCAACCTGTAGGATGTGAAAATACACCATTAATAATTTAAGAATACTTGGTAACTTCAGATATTACTAGGACAGGATGTGTTCTCAAACCTTAGTGTCAATCCGTCCATTAAAGGAACTTGCCTATCCATTTCATGTATGAATTGCAAAGTCAAAAATTGATGTGCATAAAATGGGACAAAGCAACAGATACAAATGCATAAGGCAGTAGCAAACCTCATTCAAATCATGGGCCATGTTTTTCAATGTATCCAAACCTTCTGATATCACTTCCAATCCTTGGTCCTGTCTGAACATCAAAGTAAAACACATTATTTTTATTTTTTATTTGGAATCAATAGAACAATGGATGCAGAAATCACAGAAGAACAAATCCTCATCAGAAAGGAAAAATCATATTTCCCTTTCCTATGCAAATGAATTCCGTTGACCTGATCAATGTTGACAAGCCTT